CCCCAAAACCCCAAAACCCCAAAACCCCCTCTATCAATAATATCCAGTTATTTCAGTTTAATTTAATCTAAGTTATTTAATCAACCAAATCCATCATTCATTTCCATTTAATCACTGAGTAAGGAATAAGTCTTGGGTTGATTAGGGGCATGCCTCCAAAGCTAGCTTACCAACAATAGCTCCAACACCGTTCATGTATTTATCTTTATAAGTCCTAATACTATCAATAAGCATATTGTTTATTTCTTCTGAGCTATGAGTAATTTTAGCACTCTTAATACAACTAGAGAACTAATTAATCTCATTTTCTTGAATTTAGGTAATTAGATGTCTTTGAGGAACGACTAGAATTCCTGCAGCATCAGATAGAGACTAAGCAATAGTCTTTAAGGCAATTTCAGTATTGAGTCTTTAATCTCCTTCTGATAACCTTATTTGTTCGATTGTTTATCCAGATGGTGTGTAGACTTAGTCTCCAAGATTGTGAAACAATTTCTGGAAATCAACATAGTTAAAATCTTTTTATTAGCCAAGGGCAGAGAAGAATCCTTGGAAAAACTCATCTTCCATTTAGTTAGAGACTTAAACTTGATAAGGAGCATGCTTAAAAATAGTCTAGAGTGCCTTTCCAAGAGCTTTGCCAAAGCCAACGAAGTCTTGTTTAGAAAATGCTTATAGAGCATCAGAAACATCAAATAGAATGTCCACGCCATTGATAACAAGATTCTTGCCGACATTCACAATCATTGAAAGCGGATGCTATATGATGTCAGCCATACTTTAAATCTATTCTGGATCAATCTTTATTTCTTAACAGTCCTTGACTGCATCTGGGATAGCTTTAAGAGTATCACTCAATGCGATGATTCCATCTTTATAGCCTGATAGACTATGTGCACTAAATCCCTTATAAATATTTGTAATATCTATTGATAATTTTCCAGAATCCTTAATACATTGATCAACGATATTGACTTCTTGATTGAGTGCTCCATTGAACATTCCTTCTATGAAATCATCAATATCTATATTTGATAACTGAAGTCTTTAGTGTTCATTCTAATAACTAATTGAAATTACACTGCTCAAAACTAGAGCAAAATGAAGGGGTCTCATTTGAGTATTTATTTGGAACTATATTATTATTTTATTTAATCGATTGACTCTATTTAGTCAATTAATTAGCCATGGGGTTTTGGGGTTTTGGGGTTTTGGGG